TGACACCATGAACCAAGTAAACCTTTTCTCCATTATATTGCATCTGTCAGGTATTTCCTCCCAGCAGTGCAAATACAATGGGCTAATGACTAATACAATGGGCCACTGATTTATAGAGTACAGATACTTTCATAGACCTTCTTCTCACTAAACTCTTAAATGCCAAGGAAACAGGTTTCTTACATCCATTTTGCATGAGGAAAATCCCAACTATTGAGAGGTAAAAGCAGGGCTTTATCTTTTTCCTGTTTCTTTGTCTAGATTTGTCACAACTAGAGCTAATTAGGAAAAAAGACACACGAAAGAGCCACTGTGTTTTAGGCTATTTTCTGTTGCTAGTAACACAATTTTACTGACTGGGTATATTATTATTTTTAAAAAAAGAAAAGGTTTACTTTTGTCAGGATCTGGTCCTAAATCACGGGCCTCATCTGGTGATGACTTTCTTGCTGGCAGGCTCCTGAGGTTTGACAGGGAATGTGGCAGGGTGCCCTGTCTCTGCCTTTTCTTTAAAGTCTCCAGTATTCTATCATGGGAGCTCCATTCTCGTAACCTTGCCTAATCTTGATCACCTTGCCAGGGCCCAGACTCTGACCTCATAGTCAGATTAAGTGACTCAGAATGGTGCTTATCTCCAACTTGATTTTGGGGTGGGCCAAACTATAGTCAAATCCTAATCTTCCACCCCTGGCTCCCCAAAACTCATTTCCTTCTCACATACAAAATACAGTCATTCCATCCAAATAGTCCTTAAGTTTTCATTAACTTCAGCCTTAATTCAAAAATCTAAAAATATCAGATGTGACGCCAGGTAAACTCCTTTTAGCTGTGAGGCTGAAAAATCAAAATAAGTTATTTACTTCCAAGATACAATGGTAGGATAGGCCCAAGGTATGCATCTCATCCAAAAACAGGAATAGGCAAGAGGAAAGAAGTAACTGATCTATAACAAGTACAAAACCCAGCAGGCTGACACTGAGTTTTAAAGAGCCAAAGTCTGACATCCTGTGACCACTACAGACGGCGTGGGCCCCAGGCCACCTCAGGGAAGACTGGAAGCCAGAGAGTGTGGAGGGGTCAGTCTTGCTCTTTTAGAACCACCCTGTTGCTAGGTCCCATGAAAACTCTATCAGTTCCTTCCTAGGTTGTGCGCCCAATTACCCAGTTCTCCAGCTCCCAAAGTTTCTACCAGCTCCCAACACTACTACTGAAAAATCAACCTCCCAAGTGCCCAGAGGGACACACTGAAATCACACCCAAATCACAGCACACTGGGAGGGAACACACCCAAGCAATCCCAGAAAACTGCCAAGCAGAGATTTCAGTTGGGTTTTCAGGGTAAATATGTTACCTTGTTTCAAGAAGAAAAATGCACTCATGTACAACACATTTACAATAAATTTTATGGCACATTCAATCAGTACAAGGTCTAAAATGTCACTCAGAATCAATCTTTAGCAATAACAAAAGCACTAATACTGATCCACACGTGGGCCTTCAGACCCTGGGAAGGGTCATGCTGCAATACTGGGGCTTCATTAGTACTAGAGCAAATGTCACTCTGACTTAACCTTAACAACCGTTAAAGATAAGGCTGAAAAACAGTAAGTTTTATGTTGTTTATATATTTTTCCACAATAAGCCCTATAAAGGTGAAACTGATTTACAAGTGATTTGACTGCTACTCAAAAAAAATTCAGTAATCACAAAAAGCTGACAATAAAAATCCAGATTTTTAACATTACAGTGATCACCACTCAAAGATTCCTAAATATTCAAAGAAGCAGGAAAATGTGACTCATAATGAAAAGAAAAATCAGTGAATAGATTAAAAAAACCCAAAATTATAAAGAGGACTTTAGAAGAGCAATTATAAAGATTCCCAAAATTTCTTTTTAAGTGAGCATTAATTCTCATGAATTTGTAAAAAGGGGGAAAAAGCATGAATTTGTAAAAAGGGGGAAAAAATGGGATTTTTTGGCATTTAAAAATGTACCTGAAATGAAAACTGTACTGAATGGTCTTTAAAAAGAGTAGGTGATACAGAATAAAAAAGATGAGTAAACTTAAAGATACAGCAATAGAAACTACCCAATGGAAGCACAGAGAGACAAAATTCTGAAGACAAACGCATACAGCCTCAGTGACTTGTGGAACAGTACCAGGAGACGGGGAGAACAGAAAAATATTCTATAAATAGTGGCATTGCAATCTCCAACTTGTATGAAAACCACAAACCTGCAAGTTCAATGAACCTTGAGCAGAAAATAGTAAAAACTTATATGATGGCATATTATAATCATGCTGATGAAAGCTAGTGATAAAAGCTTTAAAGCAGTCAGAGAGAAAAACACATTATGCATGGGGTAAGAAAGCCACACGTGGCTGCTGGCTTTTCACTAAATGAAAGTGTGAACCGGAATCACAACCGGAAAGTACTGAAAGAAAACTCTGTCATGTTCCGTGGAATTTACAACAGTTGCGAAGTAAAATGTATGACAATAAATGCACAAAGGACAGGAGGGGAGAAATGGAAGCATTATTGTGAGGTTTACATATGTGAAGTAAAATGATTTTAGTTCATGATGAAGACTGTGATAAATTTAAGCGTAGACTTACACATCTTAGAGCAAGCACCAGTTCTTCTTCTGTCAACAAAGAAGCACAGCTAGTAAGTTGAAAGGGGAGATAGAGTGGAATACAAAAAGATAGACAGTGAACAAAAAGTAAACGGAAAAAGAAGGAAAGGTGGAGGCAAGTGGGGAAAAGAGCAAGATGGTGGAATTAATTGTTACATTAAATATGAATGTTCTGAATGCCCCCTAAAAGGGCAGAGATAATCAAACTGAATGAACAAATAGGACTCGACTATGTTACATAAATTTTGCAGGGGATTTGGAACACTAGAATTGGCATGGTAGCTGCCAAACCCAGTTTCAATCCAAAAATCTGGATTTTGTTGTCATGGTAAGCTTCCAAACCCAGTTCCAGAAGGCTACTCATTATCCTTTATTAAATTCCTTTTCTGGCTAAATTGCCCAAATGGGCTTGTGAATCTTGCTCCCAAGGATCTTAAGCGGTGAGGTGTGGAGTGTGGAGGTACAGAGCCGAACCCAGGCTCCGCAGATCTCTTTCCACGCCTTCCCTAGCAAGTGGTGTGTGCCAGCACTGGTTACAGAATGCAAACTCCTCCGGAGGCCAAGACTAAATGATGACTCCATTTAACCCTACAGCCGAGAAAGCCAGCTCCAGCCCACTTCCTGCAGCATGTTCTTGAGGTAACAGTAGGGTATGAAATGCACCTACACCAAGCACCAAAGAAATACAGTCCTGCTAAATGGATGGGGAAAAGATGAAGTCTAATTTTCATCCACACACTCTCTTCTAGACTTTATCTTCCCCTAATTTGCATACCCAATTTATACTCACAGTTTCTAGACATGAGCAAAAAGTAAAACAAAAACAAACACCAAGAAGTAAATTAAACTTATTTCTACATGATCCATTTCCCAAATAGACTCGTGGTTCCTGCTTATGGCTGAAGTGGGATTTATACACTCAGAGTCAGACACGCCCACCAGGTTACCAGGACAACCGGAGGCTCCCGCTGCTTACGGCTGGGGGTGGAAATAATGTTGGTATGCCTGTCTGAAGGCTAGATTTGGGCAACCAGTTGCTGCTTGCGGGGAGAAAAATGCTTCCAATGCAGCAGCTCACCTTGAGTTGGGGCCCCTTGTCAGGTCCGAACTGCAGAGCCAGTCCCTGCTATCTGCATGACTGGGTACAGCACATCCTCAAACCTCAGTTTCCTCACCTCTAAACCTGAAATATGAGCACCCATTTTGTGGTATTGTTAGCAAGGATTCAGGGTGCTCACAAGTACTAAGTATACAGTGCAACGGGAGCTAACTAGTATTTTTATTTCACAAGAAGTCACTCAAACCACCCGGTGATTAATATTAGCCACTCTCTACTGGACTTTCTTTACATGCTGCTAATCTGCATAATATGCCTTCAAAGTATTTGTGTCTACTTTAGAATTCAGCCTTCAGAGAGAGGTAAGTGATCTGTCTGTAGTTACACAGCTTGGGGAAAAGTCAAGGCCTAGCCCCAAGGTTAGTCTAGGTTTTCTTGAATTCCTATATTTACCCAGTGCATATTTATTGAGTACTTACTGCTCTTAACCACCATAGAAATTCGTGTCCTGCAGTGAAAAATGGTTTTCTTTCAGCAAGTGTTCAATGCTGGTACTGTACTTTATTGAATTATACAGTGGTTTCGCACAATTGTAAAACAAATCATCCACCCACGTTCACAGCAACATTGATTTGTACTTCATTCTTTTTCTAAAATCTTCACATATGTTATTGCTTTTCCCAGCAAACAAAAGATGGGACTTTACAGGGCTTCTTCCCCTCTGGCTGGAGATGAGACCTGCATCCAGACATCTGAGGCTTTCCCTACATGGGCTCCCTAGTTATCTGGATCCATGTACCGCCACCATGGCCAGGCAGGCTTCATTTTTGTCACATGGATCCCTTCCTGGAGTCCCTGCACTACTCTGTGATGTACTGTTGCTATCACGGACTGTGTTTTCCTCACCTTCGGGGAATCTGGGTTAAATAACCACTGTGGATGGTGCAGAGGGATTTGGACCCAGGCAATGGTGCAGACCTGAGCTTTCTTTGTTTTTGCTAAGGGGACAGAACTGAATTTCCCCAAGTTAAAGGTCTCTTTGACACCCTTCAGTCCCATGCACCAACTCCCAGCCTCAAGCTTGTTTCACAGTGTTAAGACTACCCCATGTCCTGCAAAAGACTCCACAATCTGTGGGCAGGGACTGTGTCCTCAGCTGTGTGTCCTCAGACAGCAGCTCACACGTGCACTCAACAAGCAGGAGCATGGTAAATGTCTGGACACGGAAACAGGAAATAAGAGGAAAGGACAGAGGTGAGAGAAAGGAAAGGAGCTAGAATGGTCTCTGCGAACACGGCTCTTACCTTCTGTAGCTTCTTCCGTTCTGCCTCCACGGAGGAGCGCACTGACTTGATTTCTAAGGTGTGCTTCTTTACCACGTCTTCCAGGCGCTTCAGGAGCTGGTCTTGAAGGTGTTTCTTCTCCTCTTTGGTCTGACGTCTGATCTTACGAAGGTCTTCTTCATATCGTTGCCTCATGTATTCTGTCTCAACACTTGCCTCTTTCCTAGTCTACAAAGAAATCAGGACCTGTGAAACTGCTGAGAAGGAGCGAGGTGCATCATCACTTTTGATTTATGCAACTCACACAACATTTATATACTGATTTTTTTTTTGGTGTTTTTTGAAGCAAGGTTTAACTATATGGTTCATGCCAGCCTTGAACTCATTTTGTAGCCCAGGCTGGATACGAACTTGCAGCGCACCTCCTGCCTCAGCCTCCCAAGTGCTGGCATTACAGGCATGCAGCACTACACCTGGCTTATATGCTGATTTTTACAGTATGAATCTGAAGGTGCAATAAATTTTATAAGGCTATAATTGATTGTTTATAAGAGATTTTACTTTTTCCAAAATTGGAAGAGGGCCATTTGGAGAGGTGTATTTATTGTCACAGATCAGATTTTCTAGTACATTCTACAGTCATTTCCAAAGGACGCTTTGCTTACTTTGGGAATATGTGGTAGGCTCGTAAACAGTTTCTAGTTTCTAGGAGCTGGCTTCGCAAATGGGGCAAATTCTGCTATGTTCTTGTTTCTAATGACATGCAATTGGCAGGAAGCTGGCTGGCATGTCTCTCTTGAATCATTTCATCTTAAAACCCTTGACCCTAAAGATTGCAACTGGACACCTTGTGGTTGCAGGATGACCTCTACCTGAAGCTCATGCAGCAAAGCCCACTGGGAGTTCTCTGCCCCATGGCTGATCATATACTACCTGTATGTCTGTGCCACCTTCCAGGATGGAACACTCTTTGGGAAGACCTTGGTCCTGCTGAGGATGAAGACTGTGGGCTTCCAAGGCATTTGCTTCCCCCAGGATGTCATTCTTAGTCTTCATGTCATCTGAAATGTAAGTTTCAGTGTCATTTGAGATACTCTTGGCCTCAGCCCATGTTCAAGACCTTCTGCAGCCAGGGCCCTGTTCTGCTACCCAGCCTACCTCTGTGTTGTCCCTGCTCTGTGGCCTGTTGGTCCTCACCATCGTGACGGTCACCTTTGCTCAAGCAACATCCCAAGCTTACATAATTGCTGTGTTCTCCCTTCGTGAACTAGTAACCTCCCATTTTTTGCTGTATTTCATGTAGATTAAAAACTGAGCATGTTTCCTAGCATATGAACATTCATAGGGTTTTAAAGGATGTGAAAAAATAAATTGAAATGGACTTACTATTCTTTCTTCCCATTCCCTAGGGTGCTCACACCCTATTTTTGAAAACCGGCATTCTACACTCTCAATGCCCTTCTGGTTCAAACTCAAATCTCTCCTCTTCCTCTCCTGTCCAGCCTATAAAGAGGCGATTTCTTTCCCAAAAGACCTGTTCCCTTGGTGTCTGGCTATTCCCCTGATACGTTTTTAGATACACATGCCGGCCTTATCGTCAACCGTTTGGCTGACACTGAGCCAGCCACCTCCCTTTCTGAGTCTCATTTTTAAAAAACTGTAACACGGGAGGATGACCACACTTATTATGGAGAAAACCTAATAATGTGGGTGAACTGATGTTAAAATTACAAAAGCCTGTTCAAAAGTGGAGGGGGAAAGCCATAGCTGAGAAATGCAGGCCTGGCGGGGAAATATTTGGAAGCAAGAGGTCCTTTTTTTAAAATCACACCTTTGTTGCTAGTAGTGAGAATTGAGCCCAGGGCTTTCAAACTGAGTTGCATCTCTGGCCCCTTTATTTTTATTTTTACTTTTTAAAATTTTGTGACAGGGTTTAGATTGCCCAGGATGGACACAAGTTTTCAGTTCTCCTGCCTCAGCTTCCTGGAGTGCTGACAGCAGAGGCAGCACTGGCTCTGCATTGCACGGTTTAGATGTCTGACCTATGCCAGGTGAGAGGGTCTAAGTGGCGGGAGATGGCTCACCTGTGCCCACAGGGATGGGCTCATCCACCGGGCACATAAGCTCCCACACCCTGCTTCTCCTCCCCATTCCCTCTTGCAGCCTAAAAGTTCCCAGGAGCACCAGGCCATTTGGGCAGCTGACCTTTGGTCTGCAAGGACAGGTTCCAGGCATCTCACCTGTTTTCTGTGTCATGTGACCCTCCTGTAGCATCAGTCTGTCTTTGGCCATGGCCAGCTTCTCCCCCAGCTTTTTGGCAGCGCTCTTCAGCTCTGAATTCTCCTGCCGAGCCTCCCTCAGCTGAACATCCAGGTCCTAAAGGACAGGAAGGGTCTCAGGTGTCTGCTTTCAGCTCTGTGCAGCTCTGCTGCATGCACCGAACAGCTGTCAGAGCTGAAAGGTGAACAGGCACCCACCAGGCCCCAGGCCCCATGGTTCATGGTTCATCAAGTGCCATGCAGCTTCTGACTGGCTGTGCGGCCCTGGGTAGGGCACTTAACCTTTCCCTAGGGAGGATGCAATGAGGTAAAGTGTTTGGTAGAGGAAAAAAAGTGCTCAGGGACTATTAGAAATTTCAGCTGCTGCTACTCTCAGAGATGAGGCTCTGTGCTTTTGTAGGACTCACATAATGGACTCAGATGTCCCTGTTCTCTATCCACACGAAAGTCCTACAGGCCTTTCAGGAGAAGCAAATTTTACTGAATGGATGTGGATGTTACAGTTAGGCTGAACAGAGCCCCAAATCTTTTTCCTTGTGTGCCCAGCTAGGCCTGACTTTGTGTCTCTGAGTTTTTCATTTGTAAAATCTCTAGGCTCACCGAGGTGCAGGCTAAGTCTAGCTCACCAAGAGGCCCTTTCCCATAGCCGAGGGGCTGGCACATGGGAAGCGATCAGTAGATGTTTGCTGAGTGAATGTAGCTGAACTTGATGGAGATAGTGCCAGCTTGGTAGAAGTCAAGTGACTGGCCCAGTGCCCGACACACAGCGGGTGTTCAGCCTTAGCAGCCCTGCCTGCTGCCCCCGTGAGGAGGTGTGAGGAGGGGTGGCTCTACCTGGATCCTTTCCTTCAGCTTCTGGGCATATTTCTTCAGGTCACTGATCTTGCGTCCCCTGTGCTCCAGGTCCCCTTCCAGCTTCCTGACCTGGGCCTGCAGGGCCGACTCCTGCACCTGGAAGTTCTTGCGGAGGTCGCTCTCCTTCTCCTGCCACTGCCACAGGGCCTCACTCACGGACTGCTGCATGGCCTGCCGGATGGCTTCATTTTCCCGCTCGTAGCTGGCCTGCAGTTCCTCGGCCTTGCGGGCGTAGTCCTGGCTCAGCTGCTGGTTCTCCGCCCGCAGCCGCTCCACCTCCAGCAGCACCTCTTGCATCTCTGGGCCCCCGCCAGGCTCTGCCTTGGCATCTGGGCTCTCCTGGGAAAGTTGGCTCCATGGTGGAGCCTCGTGGCTGGCCAGGTGCCGAAGCCGCTTCTCATAGTCAGCCTTGAGCTCCAGCATCTCCTTGGAGAGTGTCAGCACCCGCTCTGCATGCTCAGCCTCTGCCCTCAGCTCTCTCTCTTTGGTCTCCAGTCTGCATGTGGCGGACTCTGCCAGGGCCTCCTGTGTCAGCTTCTTCTGCAGCTCCAGGGCACTCTCCAAGGTCTGGATTCGCTGCAGCAGGGCCTCCTGCTCGTCCTGGGGGCAGCCCCGTTCCTGCTGGAGCTTGGCTTTTGTCTCAGCCACCACGCTCTGGAGCTCTTCCTGATGTGCTTCCCGCAGTGCCTCCATGCTGGCCTCGGCCTCATCCTGGCGGGTGTTCAGGGCATAAATCACCTGCAGGAAAACCCACAGAATTGGGTTAGGGAGGGAGGTGAGGTGTGCGTGAGGGTGCCTGCCTCCAGAGATGCTCCTTCCTCTTTGCTAGAGGAGAACTTCCAAATTCCTCACAAGTAGGGCCCGAGAGGAGAACTTGGGTGGCAGTGATTAATCAGGGAGAAGCAGAGAAACAGCAGAGAAGGAGTGACAGGGGTGACACAAGCAAGGCTGGGGAGAGGCACTACATGGATGTCTCCAAGGGCATCTCAGGAGTAGCAGGAATGCAAGGATGTGATGTGATATCAACTCGTTCAGAAAGAACATGTCAGGACATGAAACCCAACAAAACGTTTAAAAACTGAATCCAGCATTCTCAATAGATTTAAAAGAAACATTTGCGAAAACTCAGCACTCTCCCATGAGGAGTAGTGAAAACTCTCAACAAGCCAGAAGCTAAAGGGCCCCTCCTCCACCTGAGAAAGCACCTCTATGAAAGAGCCAGGTTTAATATCACATTCCCCCTTGAAAGACCGAATGCTTCCTGCAGGAGAGCAGGAACAGGACAAGGATGTCTTCTGTTTCTACTGGTAAAACAATAGGAAAATGCTCCATTTGTTGCGTGGTTAGGATGAGGAAAGACAGAAACAAAGTGAGAAGCCCAGGGATCAAGGATTCCCAGGTGGTCCTGAAAGGGCAAACTTGCAGGTCAGATATGTATGGAGAAGAAAATCAAGAATTCTCTTTCGACCCACTGAATCCCACTGCTTCTAGATGTCCATGGAGAAGGTGCCAAGGCAAATAGAAAAATGTCCGGAGCTCAGAGAAGAAAGCGTGGACTACAGATGGAGACACAGAATCAGGAGACTGTTGATTAATGAGAGATCTGAGAGCACAGCTGTATGAAGACAGGAATCACTGAACCTCCCTGCATGGAAAATCCAGAGGTTGATGCCCCAGCAGTGGCAACAGATAATAAAGGATTAAAATCCCTGAGAAGGGCAGGTCGCAGAGATGGGTCCTCCTCAGGAGTAGGAGGGAAGGGAGAGGTGGGAACTGGGCACGGTACTTGCATTTGGAGAATGAGGGAGCCATCAACGTGTGGAGGTGAGGAGGAAGTTTCTACCATGTGAGCAAAGAACGAGGTAAGGACATCTATCAGATAACTGCGCTGAGTTGGATGGGAGGCAGGCACTGGGGGGGGGGCTTGTGGTGGGGTGGGGGCTGGGAGCTGGCTATCAGGAAGGGAAGCGAGGAGTCTGTATTGCAAGGCAGCACTTGGGTTGCTGGTGATTTCTAATGCACGAGTCAGTTTACTGAGCTGGACCATGATGTCACTGCCACATTCTTACTAGTGATTCACCCATGGTTTCCAAACCATCTCCAGGAGTTCCTTGGAGGCTGAGGGTCTCTTCAGGAGCTTGGCGGAGGTTTACCAACTGGGGACTCACTCTCTGACTAGAAAAGCAGAGTTTTTACTGTAGCTTCCCTAACATATAGCTTAGAAAAACCAAAAATGTTACTATTGTGTTTTAAAACAAAGTTGAACCTGGGCACACAGTGACACACAGTGATAGTTCCAGCTACTCAGGAGACTGAGGCAGGAAGATTGCTTGAGCTCACAAGTGTGAGACCAGCCTGGGAAACACAAGGGGACCCATCTAAGAAAAGTTGTAAACCTTAGATAATCATTAAATAGAAAATAAAGTAGTCAGAAATAATAAGAGAGGAAGTTTTGAGTGCATGTGCATATATGTATACATATGCATAATTACTAAATGGTTGCTGAAGCCCAAATGGTACTTCTAGAGGTGATTCAAGCAATAGGTTTAACAACAGTTTAGAGTATGCAGACCTTGAAGTAAAAGTCACTATGTATCCAAGACACTGCCAAAGATCTTATTTTTCTTTGTCTCTCTATGGCCTAATAATTGGCTTATTGTCCATCTTCCCTCCCAAAATCAAAGCTCTGTGACAGAGGGACCTGACCTCTAGCGTCTCTGTACACCCTCACTGCCTGGCCCAGGATGGACACCCTGAGAAGACGTGAAAGAGCAAACGAAGGACCCAGGACCCAGGACTTTCTCTTGAAGAATGTAGTTGTCAAAGTGAAATGAGCTTGGTCTCTGTGAAACCTTGGAAGAGCTGGCGCCAGCTGGGGAATCATGAATCCAACTTTCTCTGTGTCAAGGTCGAGGGGTGAAATCCCTCTCGCCTCCCAGAAAGACTCCACAGTGCAACGCAGTTGCTGTTGCTGTGTCTCCTCCCTCTCACCACTGTGCGCAGGATTTAGCCAATTCCAGTGGTTTCCAGGGCAGCTTGGTGACACTGAAATTGGTACCTCATTGGCTGCGATTTGTGTTAATAATAAAAACTATTTTTATAGACTCTACTACTGTGTGCCCAGTACAGGGACAGGTGCTATATACGTGTTTATAATTTCAGAAAATCCCCATGGCAACTCTGCAAAATTAGTCCTTTTTCTTCCTATTTTAAGAATGAGAAATTGAGCTTCAGAGAAGTTCAGCAGATTTGCGAGGTCAGAGACTCGCTCTGCAGTGCTCTCTCACTTCAGGGGCCAGGCCCAGCTCCACAGCCTCAGGGAGCCAGCTATTCATCATGCTGCACAGCGCATCTCAGATGGGCCAGGTTCCACGCTGGGCCCTGAGTCACATGAGTTTGTGACCTCGAAAATATGATTCAGCAGGAGAATCAAACACGGAAAGGGTACGTTTCAGTGCACTCTGAGAAGTGCTATCAAAGGGTACAGCATTGGTTACTATGGAAACACAGAGGAAGGGGGCTGATAGGGAAGAAGGCTCCCTGGAAAAGATTGGGCCTCACCTCATCATCTTCGGGGTGAGCAATATGCTTTTCTATGTCAGTCTGCACACAGGCAAGAATGAGCTTGCTTCTGTGTGTCGCTCCTTGGCACTAGGGAGGAAGCTGAGCGCACAGTAGGTCTACAGTAAGGGTTATGATGGAGCTGTTGCCCACATCTATGGTTACTGCAGGGAGTGGCCATGGAGCCATACCACATTCCCCAGCTCCTTGCATTTCAGAGGCACTATATGCCTTGTAGTTGTCAAGGAAATTGGATAGTGATGCGTGTCATCTTGGGGCCAACAGAGGGGCTAAAGTTAAGAGGAGAGTATGTGCCAGGAGTGGTGGCACACATCTGTAATCCCAGCACTCTAGGAGGCTGAGACAGGAGGATCCCTCAGTGTGAAGGCCCTGGCTTCAATCTCCAGTACTGAAGAAAAAAAAAGGAAGCAAGAAAGGAAGGAAGGGAGGAAAGAAGGAAGGAAGGAAGGAAGGAAGGAAGGAAGGAAGGAAGAATGTTTTTTCTCATAGTCTCTTTTACTATCTGCAGAGTTTGTGAAGAATCAGAGGACAAAAAGAAGTTGGAAGGTAGCTAAGCCCCCAATAACTAGGCAGAGCCACCACCCACAGGAACACTAACAGATACCTCTACGGTGAGCAAGCAATAAACTACTGCACTGAGCTGCTCACCTCCTCATGCCGTCTCTTAAGCAGTATTAATCCGTTACACTAATGTGTTGGAGGCCTCAAGACCACACCCAGGTTTGATGATTCACTATGGGACACACAGGGCTCGGCAATAGTCATACTGAGGGCTATGATTCTTTACAGCCAATGACACAAAGCAAAGTTAGCTAAGGAAGGGAAAAGGCACATGGGTGCAATCTGGAAAGCAAGCCAGGAGCAATCATCGAATGGTCCCTCTTGGAGTTACTCAGTGAGGAGTTGCGACAACACCTAAAATGTGTCAAGCAAGGAAGCTCTTTAAAGTCTTTTCACTCACAGTTTTACTGGGGTGGGGTGCTATTCAAGTCAGCTTCTACTGGCAGGTTGCAAAGTCCTGAATTTTAAGAAAGCAGGTAACCTTTAATGCTAACCATGTTATTTGCATAAACATTTTAGGCATGGTAAGCAGTTCTTATCAGTTTAGTGGGATACCTCTGGAAATTGGATAATTTTTCAGATAGTAGCTGAGGGCCAATCTTTGTAAGCAACTCATTCTAAAAACAAGCACACTTAAGCCTGCTATGTTAACTCGTTTCTGTACACCTAATATCCCAACTGACAGAAGATTGATTTCATTTTTTCTTTTCAACAGAATCAAGTCTTTGATATGAGACTAATCTTATAATGGGTGTTTTTCATGATGAAGAACAAAATATTCTTGAAAAGATTATTCTATATAATCTGGCATTGGCGATTCCATTAGCTTTTCTTTTAAACTACATATGGACTTGGTAGTTATCTCAGAGTATGGAGTTCTACAAGGATAGAGTAGCAAATCGAGTGCTAGATGTAATATATCCTGATGCCATACAGCATTTGGTGAAAAAACAAAACCCAAATGTCATTCCTGTTTGATTCACAACCAAAGTCCCCAGGATGGGGGTTTTAAGGGCCTCACCTGTTTCAAGCATGAGTCCTGCCATGTAAAAATTCTTTCTAGGTGCTACTCCAAACTAACACAGGATCAGATTTCAGGCTGGAGGAAGCAGAGAAGGCCCCACATTGTGGATATGCAATGTCTAAGGACACATGAATACGTGTGTATTTAGTCATATTGTTCCATAACCAAATCCCAAAACAGTCCCTGCCAGGGTCTCCCCAAACTGCTGTTAGGCTGAGATCTGATTTCACAGCTCCTGGTTTCCTAAGGGTGTGAGATCCACTATCTTCTGCCTTCCCTTCCCTGCACCTCATTGTCCAGAATGCTATTCATATAACCTTCCAAGATGGTGTATGCATAAATAAGAAAGTTTATTATATTATTTTGCATTAGTCTTTATTTTTTAACTTAATAGATTTTAGATCTCATATCATTTTTGGACATAAAGAAATTTCTCATTTTAAATTTTGGTTGCTTCAGATATCACTGTATTAAATGTGCCATAATTTATTTCTCTGTTCCATACTGACAGATATAAATTTGTTTCCGTGGAAAATGACATGTTTCTTATTTCATCATTAAGAACGTTTTC